CCCCAGCCCCGCACCCCCGCATCTCAAGGGGGAAACAAGAACCAGAGACACCTTGTGAGTTGTATCTCCAGACCTGAACCCCCCAGCAGTGTCTCCAGACACTGGGCTCTGCTGGCAGAGGGTGGGCACGTGGAGGCAGCCTCACACCTTCCTGGCACTTCCTCAACCAGCTCAGAGTCTGACTCGTGCTTTCCCCTTTATCCCAAGCAGGAGAAATGGACTCTCTTCCAGAATATCTTTAAACCAGACATTGACCTTCCTAAACCTGTTCTGTACATTATTTATTTAAGAGGAGTCTTTGGGGCTACTAAAAAAGTGGCATAGCCACATTCTGACCTTTAAAAATAATAATTTTATAATTCTTAAATAACATATTTGTAAATTACCCTGTATTATTGAAAGCACAGGGAAAACACATCTTATTTGTATAAACATCCACTCCCTTCCAGTCTACTTGTGAAAAGACTCTTGTTCTTCCCCTTCTCTGTACCAGAATATATAATAAACCATACACCAAATAACAGGTCTTTTCCAAGACCACAGGACTATTCTGGCCTTGTTTTCACACCAGGCCATGGGGCTGGGGGGAAAAGGACTCAGTGCTCCAGGATGGAGACTGGAATTGCAGGGCATATTAACTCTTGACTGTTCTCAAAAACATTCACCTGTGTGCCCATGGCAAAGTTTCCCAACAGCTTTTATAACCCAAGTTCCCTGCTTTGTTTTAATATAACCTAAAGACAAAGAGAGAGAGGGAAAAGTGTTAGAAATGCTCTGCATGGGTATCTCAGGAGAAAGTTTGGCTCATTTAAGGACAAGAAGCCTCAGAGTCGATTTGCAAGGAGCACTCTTGGGAGAATAATAAATGTGAGAGAAACTTGTTCATTTTGCTGACAGGAGAAACAACAGCAGAGCTCGTTCCTGGCCACTCTGGCTGGAAGGGGTGCTGGGTGGGAATCTGGACAGACCAGGTGAGAATGGCACCCACACCCAGTGCAAGGCAAGCCATGAGATCCCACGGGCCAGCTGAGCCCTGAACAATAAGCCTATGCTGTTCTACAGTTCTAGACACAAATAACACCCATTTCACCACGACTCCACCACCTACAAGCAAACACACTCTATTTCTCAACCTTGCAGTAAGAGGAAATGGATTTGGGCAGATTTCTGTCCTGCAGCTTCTTTGTCTTCACCTCCCTGGTGTTACCAAGATGGAAGATAGATGTTTGAAGTATCACACTGGGTTTCTTCCCCGCAGTTATTTTCTCCGAGGAAAGAAAACAGCCCTGGCTCTTCTCTCCTTGTCTGATCCCCACAGACAGGACCAGACATTTTTCTCGCTGTGAACAGTTGTTGGAAGCAGTGGGATCCACCCCAGGGCTGCCCAACATGTTTAAGGTTCAACGGGACGGGGCGCTGGCCCATCTTGTCCTGACTGTGCCTTTCAGAGAGCTGTTTTGGCTGGAAGGGCCTTTCAGATCCTCGATCCACCCGCTACAGAACCTGGTGCTAAAGCCACGTCCCGCCTCGGCCACGGAAGGTCGGACAGCACAGACCCCGAGGTCCCTTCCAGCCTGGCATTCGGTGACCGTTACCCTGTTACCGCCCTGCTTTTGCCGTTTAACGGCCACGAGCCCTGCAAGCGCCGCA